AGGAAGGAAGGAAGGAAGGAAGGAAGGAAGGAAGGAAGGAAGGAAGGAAGGAAGGAAGGAAGTGAGTCCAAGGTAGCCTAAGGCAATGTATTGAGCTTATACAAAGACTCACCTTGTCTCTATGTAAGCTCTATACACCCCAAGCATGCAGATCAAATGTCACCCCACACAGGCACCCATAGGCATTGCTAGGTCCCCACATGCTAGTCTCCCTCCTATCCTCACCTGGAAGCAGAAGGGTCAAAGATCTCGCTGGCTCTACTGAGCAAGCACTGGCTTCTCCAGGAGCAGGGGTAGCTTGGCAAGTTGGGAGCCCTTATAATGAGGTAACCAGATACCCCTCTCTCTCTTCCTCCCCACTGGCCCACACCCCTCATATGGGATTGCTGTGATTTGTGGAGAGGAAAATGACAACGGGTATGAGGTTGATCCTGCATTCCCCGGGACAGAATGTGCAGGATCGTAAAGGAACAAAAGAAGGTCCTGAAAACGGAGATTGTTCTCCTTGGAAGCAGGCAGGGAAGGGTTCAGTTGTCTTCTCTTGCACCCATCGGAAGCCCTTTTCAAATGTTACAACATCTGAAGTTCTGCTATTTTTAAACAGTTTTTCTACCCATGGCTTAAGCAACAAATAAGGCTGAGTTCTTAATAGGGTTTTAATTTTAACGCTGCCGTAGTTCTACTTTTTCTTTCCTTCCTTTTCCTGTTTTCACTGAAGTTTATTACAAAACACAAAGACACCAAAGATAATAAAATAACAGGAGAAGATAAAGAAGGGGAAAAGGTGTGTAGGGTAAAGAAATTTTAAAAAAACAATGACTTCCAACTTTTTTCAGTGCAGTTAAATAAAAAATACAGGTTGCAACAGTTCGCTCGATGACTGTTTGAAGATAAAACAGCACTAAAAATGTGACTTATGACCATTTTTCACACTTACGACCGTTGTAGCATCCTCATGGCCACGTGATTTACATTTGGATGCTTGACAACTGACTCACATGTATAATGGTTGCAGTGCCCCAGGGTCATGTGATTCTCTTTTGTGACCTTCTGACATGCAAAGTCAGTGGGGAAACCAAGTTCACTTAACAACCGTGTTACTAATTTAACAACTGCAGTGATTTACTTAACAAATATGGCAAGAAAAGTCATAAAATGTGTGTGTGTGGTTTGTGTATATATGTGTGTATATATATACACACACACACAAACATATATATATAATAATTTTTCTTTAATAAACATAAAAAAACTCAATATCTATCTGAACAGCATATTGTCTGGGTATAATTAATTTTGAACAACAATAAGTCAATAAGCATAATGATAATCATATCACATAATAATAGTAACATTGGATTATCCATACTAGAAATCTTTCCTTATATAGTTAATCATTCCCTTAATCTCTTTAATTTCTAACTCCTGTTTCTGTTAGCTAACCATTGTAAAACAGGTCCCCTGTTTAAAAAGTATTCAGATTCTTCCTTTATTTTTAGTATTAATCTGTCCGTCTCTGTGCATTCTAATATTTTTATAACAGTTTTATAAGAGTTTTTTTAATAATCATGGCTGTATATTTATTTTTTAATTTTATTTATTTATTTTGATTTGTCAATCGCTTACAAGGTAATAGGTATAAGTATATACATAGTTATGAATACATGAAATGGATACGTATAAGAAAAATAAAAGAAACAATAGGACAGGGATGGTAGGCATGTTGGTGGACATATGCACGCCCCCTACAGACCTCCTAGGAAAGGGGTGAGGTCAATAGTAGACAGTCTAAGGTTAAAGTTTTTGGGGTTTGGGGAAGAAACCACAGAGTCAGGTAGAGTATTCCAGACATTGACCACTCTGTTGCTGAAGTCATATTTCCTGCAATCAAGTTTGGTGCAGTTAACATTGAGTTTGTATCTATTGTGTTCTCTTGTGTTGTTATGGTTGACGCTGAAGTATTCATTGACAGGTAAGTCATTGCAATGTATGATTTTATATACCATACTTAGATCAGACTGAAGACGGCGTAATTCAAGGTTTCCTAGGTCTAGAATTTCAAGTCTGGTGGCATAAGGTGTTCTACAATGAGTAGAGGAGTGGAGAACTCTTCTTATGAAATATTTCTGGACTTTTTCAACTGTGCTAATATCAGATACATAATGTGGGTTCCAGACCGATGAGCTGTATTCGAGTATTGGTCTAGCAAATGTTTTGTATGCTCTAGTTAGTAGTGTGATATTACCGGAGAAAAAGCTACGTAGGATTAGGTTAACAACTCTCAATGCCTTTTTGGCTATGTAGTTATAGTGGGCTCTAGTAATTAGATCATTAGAGATGAGTATTCCAAGGTCCTTTACAGAGCTTGGATCATCAACAAGGTCTTGACTATTCAGCTTGTATTTTATTTTCTGATTTTATTTTATTTTTGCCAATATGTAAGACAGAGCATTTATTTTTTGAGATTTGAAGTTGCCATTTGATCGACCATTCTGATACATAGTCGATCTTTTTGAAGAGTAGCAGTATTGTCTGTGGTATTGAACAGCTTTATATCATCAGCGAAGAGAACGCAGTTGCTCTTAATGTGATCACAGAGGTCATTTATGTAGAGAATGAAGAAAGTTGGTCCTAGAAGTTGGCCTTGGGGGATACCACTATTGTTAAGGACTACCTGCACAATTACAACCTCAAATTTTGGCTTTACATATTTAGTAAGGACTAGCCATTTCTGAGGGACGCGGTGACTCATTGACTAAGATGCTGAGCTTGTCAATCAAAAAGTCAGCAGTTCGGCGGTTCAAGTCCCTAGTGCCACATAACAGAGTGAGCTCCTGTTACTTGTCCCAGCTTCTGTCAAAGCAAAAGCATGTAAAAATAAAAGTAAAAATATAGGGACCACTTTGGTGGGAAGGTAACAGAGTTCTGCGCGCCTTCGGCATTTAGTCATGCCGGCCACATGATGACGGAGACAGCGCCGGCTCTTCGGCTTTGTAACGGAGATGAACAGTAGAGCTGGAAATGACAAACACGTATGCGCTAGGGGAACCATTACCTTCACCTTTAGCCATCACTATTACCACAAAATAATCTAATTATCCAAATCTGAAATCAAAGTTTCATTATTATTTTTCTGTTTCAAGTCCAGACGTAGTTTCCAAGTGGAAACCAAGCTGGATAAATTCTTTTCTTTGATTAAAACAGTTTTGCAATCTCTGCTCATTCTACCACTTCTTCCCTAATAGTTCTACTTTTTCAAATGTCTGTGCCATTCTTCTGGCAACAGAATAAAGCAACTGGGCTGTTGCCTTTTCATTTCATATTTATTCAGCTTCCAATATAGCCTTGCAGCCTTGAAATTCCACCGCTGAACAAATACTAGGGAGATCTGACAGGTCCTGAGGCTGAACAATTGTTTAGTTTCGTTTACTTTATTGCCATTGCACCTCATACAATGAAATCAAACACCGTCTTCAGTGCACATCATGACCATGACCATGAAAATAAAGACAAACACACATCCTTCACCCTCCATACACTGAACTGAAAACTCGCGACACCGCACCAATACTGCACTACACAGCAGAATTCAAAAGAGCTACTGCCCTGGGATTGAAGCTGTTTTTCAGCCTATTTGTCCTTGTTTTTATTATTCTGTACCATCTGCCAGATAGTAATAGTTCAAAAAAAGGATTCCCAGGATAAGATGGATCTTTGAGAATGTTTTGAACTTTCTTAAGGCAGCGGGAGCTATAAAGCTCTTCCAAAGAGAGGAGAGGGCAACCAATGATCTTCTGGACAACGACATTAACCCTCTGGAGTGCTTTCCTATCTGCCATTGTGCAATTGGCAATCCATACAGAGGTGCAGTAAATTAAGATATTCTCTATAGTGCAGCGGTAGAAGGTCACCAGCAGTTTTTCATTCAGTTGTTGTTTTCTGAGAAGATAGTATAATCTCTGTTGAGCCCTTTTGACCAGGGCTGCAATGTGAGCACCCCAGGTCAGGTCCTCTTTTAGGGTAACACCCAGAAACTTAAAACTGGACACTTGCTCCATTCGGTCTCCATTGATAAGCAAGGGCTGCATGTCTGATCTGTTCCTTCTATAGTCCACTATAAGCTCCTTGGTCTTATTGGTGTTGAGGACCAAGTTATTGTCTCCACACCATGAAAGCAACTGGTCCACCTCATCTCAAAAGGCAGACTCATTCCTCCCCCCAAGATGAATCCCACCACTGTTGTATCATCTGCAAATTTAGCAATATAGCGTCTTCTGTAGATCTATTTCTTCTGTATGCAAACTGGTGTTTATTAAATGTATGAGGAACACCAGAAATGATGTGCCGGCAGACCAATTTCTCAAAGCACTTCATGATGATAGGATTGAGTGCCACTGGTCTGTAATCGTTGAGGTTATTGATAGGGAACTTCTTTGGCAGCGGAACAATGGTGGAAGCTTTCAAACAAGATGGAATAGTGGACTGGGATAAAGACCGATTGAAGATCCTGGTAAAGATTCTAGCCAACTGATCAGCACAGTCTTTAACCACTCAGCCAGAGATACCATCAGGACCGGCAACCTTTCTAGGGTCCACAGCCCTCAGAATGCTCCTCACCACTTGTTCCTCCACAATGAAGCGGGGGCTACATTTGGCTGGTGGTTGTATTTTAGCTGTCTCTGATGTCTCCACTTCAAAGCGAGCAAAGAAATGACTCAGTTCCTCGGCCAATGAAGCAACCCTGTAGGGATAACTGAAGAGAGGGGAGATCCGGGCAGGGGGCAGGGGATATTGCACCTCACTTCCCAACCGGCTTAACTCCCTTTTCCAAAGGTGGTGGAGCGACGGTCAGCAATGTCTGTCACAAAGAACCTCTCAGCCGGACAAGTTATGTGCAGGAGGAAGTGAAGACAGAGAAAGCTTTGGGCTGAACTGGGACGACAATTAACATCTGAATACCCTGGAACTTTGGCCTTTTAAGTGATATATTGTTTCCCAGAAGTTCGTTAAGCTGCGGTGGAAAGTAAAGGGAAAGTTTTTTTTCTCCTCACTTTCCTTCCCACGGAGACAGCAGATGGAAATCGGAAATACCCGCTTTGGCAGCAGAAGGTACTAACCTTCAAAATTGAAGCCATGGGGACATTAGATTTCTAAACACTGATATTTAAAAATTAAAATCTTTTTGCTTTAAGTGGGATGGAAGAAAGGTAAATGATTTATACTAACGTTTGTTGAAAGAGATTGCTTGGAGTTTTATAAGATTAGAGATTAAATCGCAATAAAACTTCCAAAAAATACCTTGGAATTATGTAATTGAATTCTGCCCCAGGAAGAGAAAGTAGAAGAAAGTGAAACAGACTGTGGCGATTGCGCTGATTTCGATTCCTTGATGACTTTGGGACCTTAACTATCTTT